CGTCGAAGTAGGGTTCGGTTCGATTCCGATCGGTATCGGTCGAAAGCGCGTTTGGCTGCAATTTTTTTGTCTAATTAGCAGTCGCAGGTTGGGCGGAAAGTTAAGTCGGTCGCCCGACAGTTTCACCGTTCCGTTCCGAATCTGCGACTGCGGAAGTGATAGTTTCTCGGAGACTTGCCATCGCTCGATTTGCGTCATCGAACGTAGTTATCCTCTCGGGTAGGTTGACTACATCCTGGGGGTCCAAGACCTTCAGTTTGACCTCAAGACGATGTCCGTCCACTACGGATTTGGTCGGAGGGACCGCGCCGGCGTTCAGGCCCAGTTTGTACAGGATGGGCCTGTGATCTAAGTCTAGTACATGAATTGTCTCTATCGACTCGATGTCGAGCGAGACCTCCTTGAATAACGTAATATCTAAGATACTCGGTGTCGTGTGTTGGTAATTGTCCACCGTGGGATACCTAGTGGTTGTCGCAGGAGCGATTATGCTAAAATTTAAGTTATCGGATAAGCTAAAGATTTGCTTACTGTTATTATTTTGGATGCTTTGAATATCCCATGAGCCGTGTTTGCAGTTTAGATCGCCTGCAATTATCACCGAAGGGCCTAAATTGAGTAGCGTTTCTATATCGCTTTGTAATAAGGATTTGTTCCCCGAGAGGTAGGCTGAGACTAATACAAGCGGCCCATGGCCGGTGAGCGCTACACGCGGATGCCTCTATATGGCTTAGCTCTGGAATGTCGAGCGGGCTAGAGTGCAAGGACCGTTCATAATAAATTTAAGTGCCTCCCAGACGGTTTGCTAACCGGTCGTGGCGGATAATTTTATAGTTTATGATTCTGGGATCGCGTACGCTCGGTTTTAAGAAGGTCTCTTGCACTAGAAATATATCTATATTACAATAGCGAAGGAATTTTACGATTTCGTCCCTTTGACCCTTAATGCCGTTTGCGTTGAAATACGAAACAACCAGAGCCCGAGGTTTTCATCTACCTGCGGTTGTACTTTCCATAAAAGTTTTTTATATTTTCTAACTAAAGACGCGGCGTAGCGCGGTTTTATTGCGAGGACTATAAAGTTTACGGCTGGCTTGTAAACATCCAGAGGCCGTCTACAAGCGTTTTATGGTCGCCAATGGCTTTGAGACGCTCGCGGCCAGATGTAGCAGCCGATAATTTTGATGTGAAACATCTATAGACGCACGTAAAACTGATTTCTGGCGTGGTGACGCATGCCGTGGCAACGCGTCGTCACGCTATATGATGGTACATATATACAGTCTATATGCAGTAGTGTGTACGATTTATTACTCAAATTTAATATTAATTGTTAATAATTATTTATTAATTAATCAAATTAACTTTAATTAATTGTGTGTACTATTACCGAAGCCACTGATTAAACGAATTAAGTAGTCACGATTTGAGATAAATTCGTAAATTTTTGTATTTAATGAAAATAAATGTTTATTCAATAAATAGTAATAAATAGTAATAAATAGTAAGTTATCTGGAAAAAAATCGTAATGTTTTATTTTATCATTATGACATAATTAGTTCGTCTATCACAATCTGTTCTTTTCTGCATATTACTTTTACAAAATAATGTCGATGTTTCACATCTGCCCCGTGACGGCTCATTTTATTTTTTTGTAGACAATACTGCGAGCTCTTGTCTATTTATGCGGTCTAATAAGCCGCAGATGTTTGCGATTTGGGCGAACGGGTCGTCATTGTTTCCGGTGAATACCGGTGGTGTTGACTGCACCTGCGGCCTCGGCGCCTTTTGAATGCCGGGCTGCGATTGGGCTTACGTTAGTCGTGAGGCGACGTTGTTTCGCGGGAGTTTTTGGGGCCTTAGCGCAGCCCCTGTAGCTAGCCGGGTGGCCGGTAGTGTGACAATTGACGCAGTCCAGTGGATCTGCGCAATCTTTCGGTCGCGTACAGTCGGGCGTGCCGTGGTCACCGGTGCATTCTTCAAGTACCAATACTATTCATAACAGCAATACTATCGATAGTATCGAAAGTAATGCATGCAATAGTATCGATGGTATCGATAGTATTGCAATTGCTATTAGTTTTTGACAAGAACTATCGATACTATCGATAGCCTCGATAGGTTTGTACTATCGACAGCTATTGATACTACAAAACCATCAATATTATTTAATAAATCAAATGACATTTAACAGCTGATTAGTTAACATCTACGATGATAAGTATTTCAAAAACCGGGCGTTAGTTAATCCCTTCAGGACCACAATGTTGAATTTGCAAAATGTTAAATTCCTAAAATGTTGAGTTCGCTAAAAGTTGAACTTGCAATATGTTGAATCCAAAACGTTGAATGCAAAAAAGTTGTATCCCAACAATGCGAACAACTATATCAGATTTTTATAGATATTGTTATATAAATTATTATTGTGGGGATATTTATTTGTTTTCTCGGTAGGGATTATAAATAAAAATAAACATATAGATATAAATATTGTATATTAAACCGGTGGATGATGCGGGTGGTATCGAGGAGCACCGCCTTCTGCATTTGAGCTTGCAGCGTTCCATCCCGGAGTCTCAGTCGCCACAGATGTTCATAGAGGCTGACTGGGATCAACCCATTCGCAGACACGAACGGTCGGTCACCTCGTGAGCCAGGTCCAGATATTTCGTCTTGTTATCTGTTTCGGCTTTCACGAGGTTCTCGTCATATGGGATGGTAATGTCGACCAAAAATACCCGCGACTGTGCCCGGTCCATCAACAAGATATCAGGTTTGTTCGCGAGAATCGACCTGTACGTGATGATGGGCCGGTCCCAATAGAACCTTGCGCGGTCATGGTCGAGCACGGCTTCTGGGTAGTACGGCAGTTTCCGATCCACGAGACCGTGATTATAGGAAGAGGTGCTAATTCAGCATCAACAGATGTGGAGAATGAAGTCCAGTCAGCTTTATTTAAGTTATACTTTAAAAGAGGAGGTGGGTAATTCAAGGAGGGAGCTCCAAATGGTAGGGAGATTAAAATTGGAAAGTGGTCACTCCCAAATGTACTATAGAAAATGTCCCAGCTAAATTGAGAGGCCACATTTGGTGAACAGACAGTGAGGTCCACTGCACTGAGGTTTTGGGATGGAGAAGTACGTCTAGTGGGACTTCCCGAGTTGATAACACATAGATTTTCTTCATCAAAGAGATCACGGAGCAGAGAACCAAAACTGTTTGACTGCTGTGAACCCCATGATGTGTGATGGGCGTTAAAATCTCCCATAAGGACGATTGGTGCTGAAAGAGATTTAATAATCACTCGGAGCTCTTGAATCGAGTTGGCATTAGGATGAGGAATGTAAATGGAGGCAAAAGAAATACCAAAGGCTTTCACTGCCACTGCATTAATTCTATCTGAATTGTGAGGGGGAATGGTTAATTTTTCGAAAACTAGAGACCGTTTTACTAATAGGGCGCTACCTGCCCATCCATCATTCCTATCGTCCCGGAGACATGAGAACCCAGAAACCCCAAAGTCCTTGTTCGGCTCCAACCATGTCTCCGAAACAGCAAGTAATAATGGAGAGAATTTATTAATTAAATATCTCAGGTCTGACTCCTTGCTTCTAATGCTTTTACAGTTCCATTGGATGATGTTCATAGCCATTTTTGTTAATGTTGTTTAATAGAGGGAGGATCTTAGAGGCAACGTTGGGCGGTAAAGGGACATCACTAAACTTAGATAATATATTGGCTACTAACAGCCACAAAAGATCCAGATAGTCTTCATTAGGGGAATCTTTTGTTGACTGTACTGAGTTATGCTCTGAATTACTTATGCCACAACCATTAGGAAGGGATGATGCGGGACTACTAACAATATTTTGATGTGCTATTTTATCATACGACTTTCCTAGGGGGCTTCTAGGTCTAGAAGGAAGGTTGACAGTTTTTTTGTAAGAAGAAGGTTGTTGGCTTTGAGAGCCTGAACATTGCGAATTTTGTAATATGGGTTGTGAAGGATATGGAACATATTTAGAGATGTCAGCATAAGATCGCTTCACCTGTGGATAGAGTTGAGAGGCTTCCTGGAAAGACATATTCTCCTGTGACATACTTATTTTTATAGACCTTTGCCTAGACTGTTCTGGGCAGGACTTGTTTGTGGCAAAGTGACTGCTGGAACAATATAGACAGGTGGCCTTCTCTTCAGGAATGTCACAGCTTCCTCCTGCATGAGATTGGGCACAACGGTAGCACCTGGGCTTTGATCGGCATTGGGCTTTAACATGCCCAAACCTACAGCAGTTGTTGCATTGTATAGTGGGAAGTAGATAGTTTTCAACTACAATAGAGGTATAGAAAGAGAATATTCTTTTGGGGAGATATTGACCCCTAAATGTGAGGACTACTGATTGTGATGGAATCCATGAAATCTTGCCATCGATAATCTGTTTACGATTCAATCTTCTTGCTTTTAATACAATGCCACTTCCCTCTGGTACTTCCAAAGATTCCACTAGTTCTTCCATGCTTAAATCTGTGGGAATACCCTTAATCAGACCCATACGAGTTACATTATAGGTTGGTATTGTAGCAACATATTTATTTTGGGCTAACAGGGAATTACTTAAAAAGGCATTAGCGTCCTGATATGAAACGAATTCAGCAGAGATGCGATTGCGTCCGATTCTTTTTATTCCGTCATTGTTTATATTTTTAATTTTGTTTTTTGATAAAAATCTGCCAAAAATAATAGGTCGAATGGAGGAACCGGCGGAAGGAGAAGCCTCATTAATTGACACGTGTACAATGAAAGGACCTTTATCTACACTGAAATATAATTTAGGGGCATCAGTAAGAGAGGGGTGAATATATAGAGCTGGATTAGCGTCTGATGTTTGTTGTGATTCTGTTATTAGAGCCTTTCTAATAGGTTCGGCGTCCGTTTCCGGTTCGAGGCGCCTTTTGGTGCCTGTTTGCGTAATTAATAGAGGAGATTTATCTAACGAAGATGGAGGCCGCTCCCTGTCCGGAGGGTCGGGTGGGTCTGGAGGTACCCTCTCCATCGCTCACAAGACAAGCGATGAAGACGGTGGGAAACAAGATGTTAATAAACTAAGTTCTACGTACTTACCAATTGACAAAACACAATCAAACACTTACTACCACCAATAACTAACATAAAACAGCTTAAGCCGTGGAGAAATTCCACTAAAAAAGCCTAAAACGTCAAAATCCCACAAACACGTGTATTAACCAACACTCGCCTTCCTAGTTTTAAATCAATACAATAGAATAAGAATGACAGACATGTTCAAAAGCAAACGCTCATTAATGGCCAGTATGTATCATTTCGTGCAAGTAGGTTGCGTTAGCTCTTCAACACTATCTTAGTTGAGCTTACATTATTTTGGACTAGGTAAAGCTTAAAAAAATCTATGACTATAAGTTTACATAATAAATGGTATGCACATAATAAATTTAACTTATAAGTCAAGGGATAACGTAACGTTTTCGTTACCATTCCGTAAAAATGTATATCTTCAAATAATTTTGTCTAATAGACAATGTCTATTAATGTCATCAATATTTTTGACTTTTCTACTTCCCGTTGTCAAATTATATGATAAGAAAATTTTGAGAGCGCATGCGTCTGACAATTTTCGGCCATATTGTTATGACGCATACAAGATCATAGGTCTCCGCCAGTGACGAGTCTTCTCGCAGTTGACGTGGCTACTACGTACCGTCCCGTTCGCCCACTCCGGACGCAGCATATACGGTGACGAAGAATACGTAACTGGTGAGTGCTCGTACCGAAAGACATCTTGCGGTCTGTCACGGTCGTATCGATTTGGGTTGATAAATATGGGCATTCTATTCGGCAACACTTATATGTATTTTATGTACGAGTTTAAAAGTATTAAATATATGTTGCGTATAAGCTAACATACGCAATAGGAAAATTCCAAGTATGACGCGATGATGCCGTTTTAGGATTTCTTCGTCAACATCAACAAAACAACTTATGAAATTTAATAAATTATATTACAAGTTTTGAATGTATAGTTCAAGGAATGCACAGAACGGTGACCTTGAATATTTTAGGTGACCTTAGTGGGCATGGACGGAATGGTGGAGGAGAACGGCACGTCCGGGGGTGCAGGCGTTACGGATCCATTGACAAACGCTGGCTCTTCGACTGGCGCCCCAGCCCCTCATGTTGTTACCAGCATCGTGCAGCTTACCCTACCTGCACAAGCTCCATCAGCTCAGGTGTTTTGTTAATTTACTTGATACAAGTGCAATGTTGACTTTGTTTGTGTTACCCAAAATCACATTTACTTTTTATTTACTTTTGTTGTCCTCTATTATTACAGGTTCAATCAGTCATACAACCAAATCAACAGTCAGTTATACAAACAGCTTCTAATATTCAGTCTGTGCAATTACCAAAAGGAAATGTTATTCTTGTTAGTAAACCAAGCTCTGTTATCCATACAACTCAAGGGACCTTGCAAACATTACAGGTACTGACATTAGGTAAACATAACTATGTTTCAATATGATTCAATAATTAAGTTATAAATAAAATGGTTTTGAGTTTTAGATTAAACCAGAACCAAATTCTATAGTCAATACACAGGGACAATCTTGCAGTGATGAAAGTTGCAGCGATGATGAAAGTCCCAAACGCAAATATCGTGAAATGTTAACTAGACGTCCATCATATAGAAAAATACTTAATGATCTTGGAGGTGCTGAAATTGCTGGTGAGTTTCTTTTACATTTCATTAAGTGAATGCATTAATGTAAGTTTCAAATGTAAGTAGTGTAAAAAGGTGCTATACAATATAGAATGAAGATTCTCTAATCAATCTTGTCATTAAATTTCAAATTCATTATAATAATATAAAGATTGTGCTGAAAACTTCTAATAAGAAATATCATTGACATAGGTTTCTGTGATTTTATTTAATAGCAAGTTATGTATACATTGATCAGATTCATGAAATTGGAAAACACACAGTTCTGGGAGAAAGTACAAGTTGTAAAGTATATAGGATTTTTTTTATTATTTCTTTATTATATTTTGTGTGTTATATATGGTAAACATGGTTGCAATTTTATTGCTTCTCAATATGTGCTTGCCAAAAAATGACCATAAATATGAAAACCATGCAGTTAGATAATCCCTATAGGAGTATAAGAACATGGTAATAATTGCAGAAAATCGCATGGGCTCTAAACCAGGATGCGAGAATGAAGTGTCGCTGTCATCTCCCTTATCATTTGCACCAGGTCAGTTTAATGTGCTGCAGCTGACACATTTTATTTGTGTGAACAAGTGTCACTAACCTGTTTTGTCATAACTTAATCCGAAGTCAGGTTGTTAACCTCATAATTTTTATTTTTCATTTAATAACATTTAATTTTTCATCATACATTTTATGGTCATTTAGGTACAGTGAGAGAATTTTGCTGAACGTTAATTTTTTCCTGACATAGTATTTTGTGTAATGTTGACTTTTTCATAGCTACATAAGTTATTCTCTATTGGTTCTTTAATGGATTTCTTCATTTTATGTTATTTTTCTTTGTTAATTCTGTATATTTGAATCTTTTAACTTATTGGTTTAAGTCACTCTCTGAGCTATGGAGCGGGTTATTCTTTGATATTTCTCTGTGTGCCAGAGTTCGCAATGAAGATATTCCACTAGAACAAAGGTAATCGTCATAGCTCTGAGGATTACTATGCTGAAGTGCCAATGGGATGGCCATATTGCTCTTAGAACCGATAGCACATGGGGAAGAGAGGTTCTTGAGTGGCAGCCTTGTACTAGCCTTCACAGTGAAGGCCGACCCCCCACTAGATGGAGTGACAATCTGTGAAAATGTGTGTGATCGTACTTTGTGGCAGTCTATAGAGAAGGCCTATGTTTAGCAGTGGATTCAAACAAGCTGAAATGATGTTGATTGTTGTACATTTTATTTTACTGGTTGAAAAATCAAACTTTTTTTAGCAAGAAAAGCAAACTTATTTATAGTCTTTCAGTTACAGGGCTTAAGTCAATGTTTACAGATTCACATGTTTGATCAAACTAAACCAGCATAATTTATTGTCTTGGTGACATCATAAAATTACTAATATTTGTGAAATGTACTTGAGTTTGTTGAAATCAAATTTGGTCAAATTGATTATTGGATCTCTTATATATTTTTTATACTATATTTTACGATAAAGATCAATATAGAATATACTTGTTCTGAGTCACACTTCTGAATCAACTTATGATAGTATGTATATCATGCTTTGTAGTTCTGTACCATAATTTGTAGCTCTATAGCAGGGGTGGCCAACCGGTCGATCGAGACTATTAGTCCAGTTGATTGTGGCAAGGCAAAAAATATGAATACATAGAACACTGATAGACTGCGCAACAAGTGATCAGGTACACTGACTGCTGCACGCAACATCTTGTATCATTTTTCAACATTCAAAAAAATTTCAAATGGACCACATGGTACTTCAAAACGAAATTATTACTCTGAGCTGTGACATATTTCTTAAAGCAAGGTCATCCAAAATCTCCAAATTTCAAGAAATGTGTTGAACAACTGCATTCGTGTTTTGGTTCAACATAATTGTGTGAGTCGGCATTTTCCTACTTAAAACAAACAAAAACTGAACACCATTCTTGCTTGACAGATGCTCATACATTATATTCCAAAGGTTTGCCATTTTTCAACTACAAACCCGATTTTGCTAATCTAGCGAAAGATGCTCAATGCTCACACTAATATAAATAAGTAGTTACTAAGAATAATTTTCAGTTTTATATTTTCCCTCTTAATAAAATAAAAAATACTAAATAATTGAGTACTGAACTCTTTATTTAAGATTTCAAGAAATATGTAATTGGGTCGCACAGGGTGTCAATGAATTGTATATCTTGGGTCTAATCAAGTTGGCCACCCCTGCTCTATCTATAGTCTGCAACTTTTTTTTACATATTTGTCACTATATAGTATGAAACAAAGTCGTCAAGATCTTTAAAACTGCACAACGGATCTCGTTGCGGAGTCACTAGTTATATAGAAATTGTTGAGTCCATTGTGGTTTTCTTATTTTTTGATGGAAATTTAAGAACTGAACTTACTTGGTCACATTAACATTCACCTCCACATCTAGCTTTCTAAAAGCTATCCAACTGACTTTTAATTTTTACACAATAAAAATTTTTAAGAAACAAAACAAAATTATTTATGTTCTTTATATCAGATGCTCCCTCAAAAGAAAGCAGTTTCAAAGTATCCAAGTGTTCAAGTACTAACAAAAAATAATTGTTATAAAAAGGCAGACTCATAACACTTGAAATTCTAATGAAGCATAAATTTTGTAAAGAAAAAATACTAAACATTTATAAATGTTTACACAAAAAAAAATTAAACATAGAAAAGAGTTCAGCAACTCTGTATGACATCATCAATATAACCTTGTAGTCCATTACGTCATCCGTTAAGAATACGGTGTATTAAACTGTGGCGCGGATGACGAATGTCTAAAATTAAAAAGAGAAAATTGACTAACTGAAATTTAATATTTTAAATCTTATTGGATAACAATTAGTACAATAATTACAAACTATTTGATATGTGTTTACTAATTTGCTTGACATTATATTTTATTTTAAATTGGAATTCATTTTATGACGAAAAATATTTTTCTTCAATTTAGCTAACAATTTGTTAGTATTGTTACAATTTTTTTCCTTGCTTTCTTTAAGCATTATGATATTTCAAATAGGGTACATAGGTAACATGTATAAATTGGTAGTTTTATGTCCAATCTTGCCTTTCCTGCAGTGTGTAAATATGATTAAAGTTTTACCGCCATAATTTTTAATTAGACTTCTATAAGTTAGAAATAAACTTTTAAAATATGAATGATTAGAAAACGTAATATGAATTATAGCAGTTTATAACAAGACCAATACAATAAAAAATTATGTGCAAATTAAACAATAATTTCTTTAAAAATCCTGATGTATGTGATAGTGGTTGCAAAATTTAATCTCATAAAGAAATCTGGTATAAAGTTAAAATAATTGCAGATGTAAATTTTTTTTTGTTATTGTTTCGAAAATATGCAGTTTTCCTCATGATATTTTCCTTCAGCACTTAAAATTAACTATTTCATTGATATCAATACTGGGATCAAACTCAGGTTGCTAAATGTTAAAGGCGAGCACCTGGATCTCTGAGCCATCACGGTCGAATAAAAAATATTGCGAAGGCCGTCAATCGGCAGTGAGGGCGCGTGGTGGAATATGATACCTGATACCGTCTACAAAAGAGTCCTTTGCCCAGCCGTGGGACATTTATGGGCTGTTACTTTACTTTTTTAAACTTTAAATTTGTGGGAATAATCAAAAAAATCCATATTCAGAATAATCATTATATATTATAATCATTCAAATATTATTATTAATTATATATTATAATCATTCAAAAATAAAATTCCAATATTGACCAATATTTCCAACCTGTTTGTTTCTAGTACGCACATACTAAATCACCATTCTGATTTGTGATACATTTCTTATATTTACTATTTAACCTAAAAATAACTGATGCATTTTTTCCAAGCACAATCTTTATATAATAAAAATTAATTATAAAATTATTTTTTTAATGCATTATGTATTTATTCTTGATATTATTTATTATGCTCCCTTGCATTATGTAACAATTTTGCACCTTTAGTGATTCCAGCTGGAGCCATACAAACAGAGAGTGGACTACACACATTAGCCGTCTCTGGTGCTGCTGGTGGTGGTGCTATAGTCCAATATGCAACAAATCAAGATGGTCAGTTCTATGTCCCGGGTTCGTATCATATTACCAATTTCAAATATATAAAAGAAATATTTGATTATTAATAGCTTCAGTAGGAAACACGAACAAATCGTACTATCATTTTAGGTCCAATTTTAGAAGATCAGACGAGAAAGCGAGAATTGCGGTTACTTAAAAATCGTGAAGCGGCCAGAGAGTGTCGACGCAAAAAAAAGGAGTATATTAAATGTCTAGAAAATAGAGTAGCAGTTTTGGAAAATCAAAATAAAGCATTAATAGAAGAGTTAAAATCCCTTAAAGAGCTCTACTGCCAGCAGAAAACAGAATGAGGTCCAGCCGGCTAAACAGGTGTGCCACTGCCCTGCCGGTAAGAGTTTTGAGGCACACATTGTCAGTGCAAACTGCGTTTGGAGTAGTACCTACTTGGTTCCGTCGGATGAAATATTTTAGCGCCTTTGCCAATTTTTATACACAAATTTTAAGATGGTCATCTGTTGAAAAGGAGCAAACATTTTACGACATCGAAGATGCGCTTATGAGAATCATTTGGAAATCTCTTAGTTTTATATGAAAGTTTTGTAAGTAGGCTAATTCTAAACTGCAGTTATGTGTTTGTATCAAATGGTACAATATCGTTTTGGTGCCGTGGGCTGTTTCAAGCTGCCATTTCTCCATAAAAAAGGCGATTTGTATAGGTGGTGGCTTGAACTATAACACTCTATACAGGGTGCCCCCTTGGGTTTCAATAAAAATCTGTGTATATTTTGTGTAAATAAAAAACAATAGTGAAGAAAAATATAAAATTAATTTTAAACAAAAATTCTATATTGAATATAAATTTGGCAAATAGCTTGTGTTTTTAACAATTGTTATACTTTATATGTTAAAGTGTTTATATCTATTTTTATCTACATGTTGTTGTTTTAAACACTTTGTTTTAAATATTTTTGTTATTTCTGTAAGCACACTTGCAAACTAGCATGCTTAACATTTAAGATAAATCCAATTATTTTTCTCCATAGCAATAAGTGTTCTCCATGTTACTTTTTAATGTTATTACAAATTTATGTATGTACCATTCCAAAATATTCATAGGAAAAATATCCAGTTGTTCCACCACTGAAACTTTCACATTTGTGCCATTTTATAACTCTAAAAACCGTAGTCCGTTTGATATTAAGACAATAATGTTAAAACTGACACACTTCTCTATGCATCTCAGAACCTTCGCATTTTTTAGTTTTCAATTTTTTTTTTAATGTCTGATGTATTTGTGAATAATCAGTTTGTGGAAATTATAGTTTAATATTTTATGAGTGTGTAACATCAACAAATCGTAACAGCTTGCTGTGGTCATTAGATTGTATTTGTTATTGTAACACAACATGCTAATATGGTAAAAATCAACCATGCTTTTTTTTTTCAACACAATATAAGTGTGTTTTTGTAATGGATAAGCCAAAGGTAATATTTAGTTATTTTGTGCAATATTATATTGCATTGTATAGTTTTCATATAACTTCCTATAACTAAATTTTGATTAATTGAAATGGGAATGATGTAAATTGTGTATAGATAGTTTAGTATTTTAGTGTATAAATAAAATTGAATTATTTTGTATATACACAATGTAATTTAAAAATGGCTGATGTTGCATATCACCAACAATAATTCTCACTTCAACCACTTTAGAATTTATTATGAAAGAAACATATTGTTGACACTTGTATCTGACGCCATATTTTTTTTGACGTTCACAGATTATATTATTGTATTTTTTGTGAAGGGTAATTTTAACAGAGATATATTACTTAGGATTTTATAAAAATCTGTCATTTGCCATGGTAGATAAATTGATTTATTTTTAATATAAATTATTCTTTCAATTTCTGCAGTCCTGTCTATCATGGCATGTGATAAATAGATTAATGATAAACATTGTGGAAAGTGCCTTTAAATTTAGACTTAATAAAGTTTATACCAATATAGCTTTTTATGTTAACTTATGCTATTTAAAAATATTAATAATATTAACTGTTTGAAGTAAGTTGTGTTCTCTCGTTATTTTAATTTCATCCAACCATGGAATATATATAAATATATATTTATATAATTTTTTTCCATTCTTAAAAGTTAATAAAATTCATGTTTCTTTAAATATACTTTCTAATTGGTTAATGGTCTTAATCTTCTTTAAGTTAGTTTTATATAGTAAAGTAATTTTTCTAAATGGTATATTTGTTGATACAAGTAAAATGTGACCTTATCTATGCATATCAATACCAACAATCATTTTGCGGAAATGAAAAATATGAACTTCTATTTGTTCCTAACTTTTCATAAGTCAGTAGTGCTCAAATAAATGTGTTCATGTATTATGTGTAGCATGTATTTAAAGTAAGACGGGAGAAACATTTTGATCCATCTAAGACATCTTGTATGAGTACAGTAAATCTCTTTATAATGTTTTTAAACAATTAAGTTTCCCTAAAATTTTTTGATCACCTTTCTACATAAAGATCCAACATATTGAAAGAATATGCTTTTAAAACATTTATTAAACTTGTTTTAAGTTTTAGACATTAAGAATTATTTGTCTGGTGGTTAATAATAAAAATCTGAAGTTAACCCAAAGTTCACTTACCATTGCGGAGTAGCAAATATAAAAAGATCGCTAAATTATAGGATAAATTTATTTACAACTAAGAAACAAAAATAATTTTTCTTAATTCGAGTACAAAACACTTCTGTGGAGATTAATTAATTAAACCTATATTTCAAATATAGTTTATATGCTCTTTTCGAAAGTAAAAAGGATTGTCCAACAGGAAAGAAGTTAAGATGTTATTTATTATCATTTCAAGGAAGTAGTGCTCACTATGTATAAACGCAATTCATATTGACTTTATCATAAATATGAATCTATGTATTACTAGTTTGTATGGTGGGCACGAAAACTACTATTAACGATACTTTTCCATATATCCAATAGATTTTGTAGATGGATTAAGAATTAAATATATAAATCATAAGTGGTAAAAAGAAGACTGTTATAATCAAATAAGTTGTGTAAGGCTAAAGTTGACCCTTAGCCTTATTAGGTGTATATATAAACTTTTCTACCTAGCCCTGTGTAGTTTAGGTTACCTAAGCAATCTTTAATGCCTTTGATTTACGAAGTAAATTAAACGCTAATGCTACAATCTATATATAAATAATATTTAATTCAAGATTACAAGGATTAATTAATGCCCTGAGTTTGTACTACAGCTGAATAAGGTTTAAAGACATCGTGGAGTCATCATATCATGAAATATAGGAAAAATCTATTTCCAATTAAGGAATAAATATCTCTTTTTTCTGAATGTCAAGAATGAGTACAAAACACCTAGGGAGATAAATAAATTAAACTTATTTGAAATATAGTTTAGATCATTTTTACAAAAAGGATTGTTCATCAAGAAAAAAGTTGAGATGTTATACTTATATAATTATGACTAGATGGGGAAAGAGGACAGCTAAAGGCTAAGGTTTAAGGACATTGTAGTAACATGAAGAAAACCGATTTCAAATATCGCACTCATACATTTTCTATTTTAGTTTGAGGAGTTCCCTAATGTATTTCCGGGGTCCAAGGTCAAATAACAATGAAACCAATATGGAACTACATCTGAACCCAATGTAATGATAATTTTTACTATTGGTTCATAAATATTTTTACCATCGATTCATGACGAAGTTTTGAGGTAACAAAAATATAACCGATTTAAGAACGTCCTGTTTCGAAGTCGATTGAAAATATTATATCCACATCAGAAGGGTTTACAATAACGTTGAATATTAGTTGATACCATTACGTTATGTGCTATACTGTTGAAGTTTTCATAACACAAATACGATATACCGTAATAAAATATGTATTCTTAAATATACTACTGGTTACCTATTATGATGATGAAAAATGTAACAGATACATATACATTTATTTATGTATTGTAATTATTTAGATCTGTATCGTAGAACTGGGTACGTTAAACCGTTATTTAAACAAAAAACATCTTGTTATCATGAGACATACGTATTTAGGAATTCAGTTCTACCGACAATTCTGACTTCTATTGCACATTTAATAACAGCGCCCACTTGTAAAAAGTTGTACAACTTTATACCAAATGACTGGTGTAAAATAGATGTAGTGATATTTTTGCGTTTCGTCTGGTGAGCGATTTAACTGGAAGCCCACCATGCTAAACGTTAGCAAAGTAATGTTTGTTGGAAGTGTCCGCTGTTTCAGTAATTGCAATCAAGGTTACCACTATCTGTCAGTCGCATAAAAAGACCAACATGAAAAAAAAATAACAATAACCTGTTTAACTATTTTTATATGTAGGTATCTATGTAGGTTTTTAATGATTCATACAATTATTAGCCAACAAATATATTACAAAATTTATATAAAAAGGCTATATATTTAAAATTGATAATTATACAATAATAGATATTAGTTAACATTATGTTCCATGCCATTAAGTGCCTAAATTATTTTTTATTAACAATGGTGTTTCATGTACCTAATATTTGAAATATTATTTGAGGAATGCTATTTTCTGTTGTTCATATTATTAATAAATACAAACTTATTTATTATATATATAATTATAAGAACAGGAGAGTAAATATAAGGAATTTAATTGAAACAATAAATGGAACAATAAATTTAATAATATATTGTACCATGACAATGTTGTGTGTGTCATTCAGATGAAAGTACACATGCAATATTTGAAGCAGGTAAGTATTATTGGCTGTTGATATTAACAGTAATATTACACTGTTCAATGTTAGTATTTTTGAAACATTCTCTCTGCAACAAATATAGGGCAAAAAAATTGGTTAATCATCATAATTCTGTGATAATAGAAAGTTTGCTGCAAGATTTTCATTTTTTTCACAGGCAAAATAAGCTTGGATGACCATGTGCTCTGGAAAGCCAAGTGCTTTTAATCGCTCAATAGCTTCTTTGTCTTGAGGTGAAACCTGAATAATGTTTTGTGGTTGTGGAGGAAGTTGGTTTTCTGATACATTTTCTTCAGCAGCTATACTTCCAGAGGTTGGATTGGCAGGTTCATTGAGCATTCTTACAAATGCTTGTTGGTGTTGACTAATAACTTGAAGAAGTGCAGGGTTTGTTTGTCCGATTTGCTGAAGAACTGTATTCAACAAATTTGGATTTTGTTGAATTACTGCTCGCATTTGTTGAAATTGTGGTTGATCTCGTAAAAAAGCCAATGGATCCTCATCTGAAATTTCTTCTCCAACCTGGTCTAGTAAGAGCTCTTCAGGAATACCCGTAATTAAATATTCTACAGCCCGTTCTCTGTTATTGAAAGAAGCACGTAAGGCTTGTTCCACTTGTTGTCTATTGTACCCCATATCCATGATACTTTGTACAGTAGCTTCGAAATCAAGTTCACCAGATATTACAGGCGCGATTGGTTCTGGAGTACGTTCAGTCTCGGCAGGGGTCGATGGTTTAGGTGTTTCTTCGGGTATATTTTTCACTTTATTATCACCAACTTCAACCGAAGCACTTTCTCCTGCCTCCGCGGTAGAAGTGGAAGATGCCTGTATCTCGGAAGGTTTAGATTTAGTTACCATAATGACAATGAACTTCTTTTCGTCCATATTATATGAGCTTATCTTGTTTTCGTCAAGTAAAATTTTTCCCGCATAAATAAGCCTTTGAGAGCCTGCTGCATAGTCCTTACCCTTTTCCACTTCAATTTTAAGTTTGAGTGCTTTAACTGTTTCTTCAGGATCTATTTCAATTTGAAATGATAGTTGTTGTAATGTTTTTATCGTCAACAACATTTTATTGTTGCCGTTTTACTTGTGCAAAGAATTCACAGATATATGATCTGACTCGACAAAATTGACCAGTAAACATAACCTTCTTGCAGACACCTTTTTTTAAATGTCATCAATGTTCGGATATGCTCACAATTTTTTCACGAATCCATCACTCAGAGGTTCGATTTCAACTGCTACTTGAATTCATTATAATTCGCTTACTATTTTAGATCAAACTGGTAACTAAATATTCATGTAAGTTCAATTTTTTTTTTCAAAACATACGGTAGCATGGAATGTAAAAAACAAGTGGAAGTGCCATGGCCATGTCGGCGTATTCCGATGACCACAATTAAGCGAAAGTGTCACTAAGTGCTCTTTGACTAACTGAAGGTAATATGAGATCTACACGGCCTCTCTTTATGTAGGCTGCCGCCGCGTATGGCACTATAGGTCATGAGATTAGGACGGGATGCGGTCATTCTTTGCGTCATACGTTCCTGCAAAACAGCATTACGCTACAAGTGGGAATGCTACCGAGCTTGGGCTGAAGCTTCGGACTCTAGTGATATAAAGACCAGCGCTTTAAAAAAGGAATATAACTCTGGTTCTTGGTCCTTCAAAAGTGTTTTTGTTAAGGCGAAGTCTGAGCAATTTGGCGAGAGATTGGCGCGTCGCCTATCGGGAACACGTACGTTTTTGTCTCGTCTTCGGAAATTTCGGTAAGCCTTCTTTGTTAAGAAGAGTCTTAATGCAGAGCAAGTAATGAGACTTCTTAGATCTACTTTAGTTATCTATGTCCCATCTTCTGGGACAACCGTTGGTTATGGGAGGGAACTGTCATCAGACATAAAATAACAAATTGTAAAAGGGGAAAGTATAATTTCGCCAAATATAATTATTTAACATCATTACTCCACGAGTTGTTTATTTGTTAAAGTTCTTTTCCACCACAGCACACGGAGGATGATTCGTTGGCCCATGCCGCGAAAAAGAAAGCCGATCTGGGCTCTGTCTTCGCATTCAACTCGACTTTGGATGACCGAGGAAACTCACCACCATCAATCCCGCAGTGCGATTCTACGATGTCGGAAGTAAAGTTTCGGCAAAGTGCAGTTCTCGCAGTCTTTCCTTGGACAAGTCGAGTGGGCCCATGGCATCAGTCCGATCGTGTTGCAGACATGTGCTCCAGAGTTGGCACCGGTTTCAACGCGTCTTTTCCGGCACTCCTGTACTTTAGGCGTAGTCCCAAAATTATGCAACTGGATGATACCAGCTTTTTCGTCGTCGTCGACGGTGCATGCTCTAATACTAAATTGGTCAATGCTGGTGTTCCTTAAGGCTGCGTACTCTCTTCTACTTTGCTTCTTCTGCATATTAATGACATGTTGCAAATTAGCAACGTTCATTGCTATGCGGACGATAGCACTGTAGATGTCACGTACTCTGGCCGTGTTAACATTTCTTGGGAAAACGTCCTCGAGAGCCGGAACAAAGTTATGTCTGAAGTCAAGACTTTGTTATCCAAAGTCTCAGATTGGGGTAGACTAAACTTAGTCCAATTCAACCCTAAAAAAACACAAGTTTGCGCGTTAACCGCTAAAAAGTCCCTACATGTCGTAACTCCTCATTTCGAGAACACCCCTATCTGCCACAGCTAGTATAGGAATACGTGGCGTCGAAATCTCGAGCAACGTCCAGTTCCAAAGTCAATTGGAAGGTAAGGCCAAATTGACCTCAAAGAAGCTTGGTGTTCTCAGCAAGCCGAGACCGTACTTCACGGCGGCGCAACGCCTAAACCATCCTTTTGGCAACTCAAATGATATTTGAAAAGCCATTTGACAGCTGATTAGTTAACAACTACGATGATTATGCCCAGTTTCCGAAAGGCCAATCAAAGCAGAAATCACATAACACTATGACAAAAATGATCAGCTATTAATCTCTTGTTAAACTGCCTTGGGTTTCTGGAAGGTATGTTCAAGAAAAATTAGCTAATCACTGTATAACCAATGATAATGAATGAAATGAATGATTTACTTCAACTAACTCTTTCTATTGTATAGCTGTCCCTTTTTAAACAAAACTTAAATTAACGTCACTATCCAGTCCTGTCGCCTGTTAAAATTTAATTTATATAAATACATGCAAAAAGTATAAAAAAAAAACTTTACAAAACGTGAAAAAAATGAACTTTTATCCATAATAAACAAGTAAGTATTAAAAAAGAAAGAATCCATATTATTTATTAAATTTTGAATTGCATTTTCTATTTTTTTTTCTAATCGCATGATATGTTCGCATAATAATAAATAATAAATAGGTAATAGAACACATGAATTTCCTTATAACGTATTAGGGAATTATGTTTATTTCTAATAAAAATTAAGATTTTTGATAAATAACATTTTTAACCAACGATTGATCGTCCAAATTGACAGATTACTTAATAAAATTTTTGACAGCTCGTTGACCACCGAAAAACGCTTTCAGAAACTCGATTTTCTGTTGATTGTCCGTTAATCAGTGACTAATTGCAAATCAAAATCAATGTTTTTTTTTTTTTTTTTTTTTTTTTTTTATTGTGGCATTTTGTTATCCTTTATGCCAATGACAAGTAAAAGGAAGGAAACAGTGGTTTTGTTGAAATATAAATTTATTTCAACAGGACTAGGAAGCGGAATTTGGAAAAAGGAAAATAATCAAGAAGATTTACGATACATATATTCAATGTGATAAAGTATTATTAATTACAGAATATTTAGTTTTATTAATATCGTATTTACACAAATACACATAATATATATACATATATACACACATATATATGTATGTATATATATATATATATATATATATACCCATATATACACACATACATACGCATACATTTATATATATAAACCTATTAACCAAATTATACTATAGTTTTATAGCATTTTTCTGAATAAATGAAGCTAATGTTTTATATACACAAGGGTCGTTATATGCTAAAGGAAAATTTCCTTCTTCCGTTCCACAAGCACATAAAGAAGTATCTACAACATGAATCTTAAACAGAAAAAAAGACGGAGAACAGCAGTGACCTAATCGCAAACGAATTAAAGAACTAGTACAATATTTATTTAAATTGACTTGAGTGTACCAAGGCTTATTTGGAATTGTCGGTTGAATTGAGGAGTAGAATTTTCCTTTCACTAGGCTAGGAGATGTCCAGTAATGTTCCCAGGACTCTTTCAAATATCGCTTCGACAAGGAAAGAAGATCGTGACAATAATTAGTGTAAGGATATATATCACCGCTTAACACGGCTTCATTTGCTAACTCGTCTGCCTTTTCATTTCCTTTAATGCCGCTATGCCCGGGAATCCATGCAAAAACTACTGTAATGTTTTTAACTTGGCATTTGTATAACAATTTTCTTATTTCTAAAATTATAGGATATTGGCATTTTGATTTAAGCGGAAAATGTGCTAATGTTTGTAAAGAACTTAGAGAGTCCGTAAAAATTATAGCTTTACATAAGTTTGTTAATAATATATATTCTACTGCGCGAAATAGACCAAAACATTCCCCAGTAAATACTGATGATTCAGGAGGTAATTTAATTTTTTGTACAATATTATACTGAGAATGAAATACTCCAACCCCAACACAACTATTATTGGTATGTTTAGAAGCATCACTATATATATAGTGCCAATTCTCCCAGTTATTTTCAATAATGAATTTAAAAGCTGTATGAATCTCTATTTCATCTTTTTTTATTCCAACATTGAGTTTTATGGAGGGTGTAAGAGTCAAGATTTTATAATCGGTTTCAAACAGTGGAAGAGTTTTGGAACGATACATGGGGGCTTCAATAGCAAGATATTTTGGTAACTTTTAACAAGACATGGCAATTCCTTGAGTTTCCAATACGAAGATGAATTAATGACTTGACATAAGGTTTGTAGTTTTGTTATTAAAGGATGGTTTAAAAATTGTAAACAACGAAACAGGAATCTATCAGCTAAATATTGTCTTCTTAAGTGGAGCGGCGGATCTCCACATTCTAATTGAAGAGCATTAATGGGACTGGATTTCATTGCACCAGATATTATTCGTAAAGCTTTTGATTGAATTAAATCGATTTTTTTAAGACCAGATGCGTTACAAGGTTCCAATAAAAATGTACCATAATCTACAATGCTTCTAATGATAGCGTTGTAAACTAACTTTAAGGAGATGGGGTGCGCACCCCACCATACACCAGAAAGGCATCTTAACATATTTAGTTGACGTTCACATTTTGCTACTACATAATCGAAATGCGGAATGCCAGTAAGTTTTGAGTCCAATATTAGACCTAAAAATTTTGCATTATTCTTAACTGGAATTAGACTATTTTTATAAGAAATGTGGATTTTGGAAGAACACGTTTTCTGGAAAATACTACAGTGGTACTTTTAGAGGCAGACAATTCAAGACCATTTGATTCACTCCAAATACTCAATAGACGCAAAGAGTAATTTAAGCACTCACAAGCTTTATGAGCAGATTCATCCGAAACATACAGAAGTAAATCATCTGCATACTGTAGAATATTTGCAGACCCATTAAGGAAATGTTCTAAATCATATGTGTATATATTATAGAGTAACGGACTAAGAACAGAGCCCTGGGGTAATCCTTTCCAAGTCGTCCTGGATATTTTATGTCCATTTTCTAAAAAAATATGTATAGTCCTCTCATATAACATGTTATAAATGAAGTTAATGAATATTTTTGGAACTTTTAAATCAATTAATTTCTGCCGTAACAGATGCGGAAGAACACTATCATATGCAGAATTTATGTCTAAAAACGCAGATAGAAGGAAATTATTATTTGTGAACGCCAGTCTTATATCAGTAGTTAAAATACTCAAGCTATCTATCGTACCTCTTCCTTTCCTAAAACCAAATTGACTGCTTGCTATTATATTTTTATTTTCAGCAAGCCATTCAAGCCGGTTTTTTCACTAAATGTTCTGCAAGCTTACCTATTACAGATGATAATGCTATTGGCCTGTAAGATGTGGCCTCAGTAGAAAGTTTCCCGGGTTTAAGAATAGCAATGATTTCCTGTGTTTGCCAAGACTTTGGTATATTGCTAGTTGCTATTATGGAATTTAAAAGATTTAAAAAGTAAGACAAAATTTTTTCGTCTAAATTTGAAATAAAAGAGTATATAATACCATCCTCCCCAGGGGCAGAATCCTTAAGATATGATAATATGCCTTTTAATTCTGACATAGAAAACTGCGAGGCTAATTCGGAGTGATCGTTTAAATTACACTCTAAATTTGGGTGGCGAAATTCTGGAGCAAAAGGGGGGGCAAGTCGGTCTGTAAAATCTTCAGCAAGATCTATTGGAAGAGATATTGAGGGAGAACTAATTTTACTACATCTGAATCGTCTGATATTTTGCCAGAGAACTGAAGGATTAGTATTAGGAGAGATCGATGAACAGTAATTTTTCCACCCTTCGATTTTCTTCATCTTTAAAATTTTGTGTGTGTTGGTACTTATAACTTGAAAACTTTCAAAATTTTCTGATGTCATAGATGAACAATATTGTCTTTCTGCAGTCTTTCTTTTTTAACAGCTTCAGAGCATTCTTTATCCCACCATGGCGGGGGTGAAGCTTTTTGGTAGGTATTTTCTTTTAAAGGAAAAGCTTGTTCCGCAGCGTTATTAAGAAAATTTACAAAAGAATTATAGGAGTCAATTTCATAAAATTTTTGGACATCTGGCAAGGTAGAAACGTTCTGTAGTGTGTTGCTTTTGTAAGTATGCCAGCCTTTAGTACTTAATCTGTATTTCATACGTGAACGCGGAACTTTTTGATTTGGAAGGTTATAGAAAGGAAACGAAATAATTATTGGAAAATGATCACTGCCATAAGTAGAAGACAAAATGTCCCACTCTAGAACAGAAGAAAGATTGGGAGTACATATAGATAAATCTACAGCACTCACACTCTCATTCGGTTCTGTACGTCTTGTCGGCTTTGAAGTATTTAAAACACATAAATTATGATGATCAAGGATATCTAACATTAGATCTCCATTAGGATTAGAAAAAGAGCTACCCCAGGATTGATGATGACAGTTAAAATCACCCATAACCAAAAATGGCTTTTTCAGTGAAGATAAGAGATGATTAACTTCATTTAAAACTTGTTGAGATGGGTGAGGAACATAAATAGATACATAACAAACATTATTGTATGAAATCGCAATTGCCGAAAAGTTATCAGAGTGTGGAGGCAGTGGAACATACGTGAAAATAACAGTTTTTTTAATTAAGATTGCTACACCACCATATCCATCCAATCTGTCTTTTCTATGGCAAATGTATCCTTGCATATTAAATGATAAATTTGGCCGCAGCCAAGTCTCCGAAAGAGAGATAAGGAAAGGATTAAATTTGTTAATCAAATATATCAATTCACTTTTTTTATTAACTATGCTCCTGCAATTCCATTGTATAACTTTGGCTTGATTGTCCATTGTTAAGAATTTGTTTAAGAATATCAAATGTTTGAGCAACGTTGTTCGGTGAAATTATTTTTTACTTAGTAACAAAGAATTAATTAAAGGAATTACAACATCTGTAAATATGTCTTGTTTTTCATTCCCATTGGGTGTTAATGCACATCCGTTAGACGACATTGGCATTTCAAAGTCCTTAATTAGAGCTTGATGAGCTGCTTTGTCATAGCCTTTGTTGAAATGGGGAAGAGGTCGAGTTTTTAAAGAAACTGTCTTTTTATATGAGTTTTTCAATGGTTGGTTAATATGTGATGACAAAGAATGTTGTGGCCTCATAGACTCAGCTGAATATGTGCTAGAGGGAACAGATTTAAGAATGTCAACATAAGACTTAGTGACAGGGGGGAGCATTTTGGAAGCCTCTGCATATGAGATGCAGTTTTGTGCCATGGTCAATTTTATTTGTTTTGTCTAGCCCATTCAGGACATGATTTGCTAATAGCAAAATGTGACCCAGAACAAAGGAAACAGAAAGCACAGTCATCATCTTTATTGCAAGAGTCACTTGTATGAACATCTCCACACTTAAAGCAGCGTGGTTTGGACCTACATTGAATTTTAGTGTGACCATATCGACAGCAGTTGTAACATTCTATAGTAGGATATGTGTAAAGTTCGACAGATAAAGCATTATAGCACATATAAATGTGTTTTGGAAGAACCTGACCATCAAATGTTATAACTACTGTCTGTGAAGGTTTCCAAATTGGAGACCCATCAACAGTTGTTTTATAATTTAATCGTCTTATTTTTAAAATTTCACCACAACCCATTGGCACAGTTATGTTATTTTTAATTTCATCTGGGGACCATTCAGCTGGCACTCCTCTTACAATACCCATCCTAGTTATGTTGAAGGTTGAAATAAAGGCTTTTAATTTCTGTGTAGACAAAGAAGGATGATTAATAAAAGTGTTAGCATCAGTAAAATTGGAAAATGCAAGGGAAATCTTGTTCCTACCAATTTTTTTTATACTGCCATTGATGATATTCCTAAATGCATTTTTTTTTAGAAAATTGCCAAAGGACACAGGGTGGAATGAAGTACCATCATTAAATGAAGATACTTCTTTTTGAACATGTATAATATAAGGTGATAAGTCACTGTTTTGGTAAATCTTTCTATATTCGACACTAAGTTGCTCGGGCTCTTTTGATTCTGTTGTTACTGGTGATGCAACATTATTTAGAATGGTGCTGTTCTCATCACTATCGCAATGACAGGCATGCTTAGTTTGGTCATTCTTAGTACCAGAATGACTGCTCCTCCTCCTTTTTTATTGCAATGTTTGCAAATTTTCTGCAAACGTGAGCGTTTTCTAATGATAAGAGTATTCGACGCATCAGTGTCCATACAAGACTCGCCATTAGAAACTTCTACATTGTACGCAACCTCGGGGACTCCACCCCCGGGATCAGGGGGTTCATTCATTATAATAAAATATATAAAACTTACCTAGGTATAGAAATTAAACTATTACTATTAATAATTAACTACACAAAGTAAAAAAAATTACATATATACACAAAACTTCTCTGATTATTATCACTAAAATTAAATAAATGTGATTTAGAGAAAAAAACGCGCGCTTAGCTTTCAAAGTTTCCCGCCCTTTTTCTAATATATTTTCCAAAATCAATGTTGTTTAAGACGTTCTAGCAACTCAGATCATGTTAAACAACGATTGACAAGAGATTTATGGTAAATTAAAATTGATTGCGCTTTCGGAAACTGGGTGATAGTCGATTAAAATAATTATAAAGCAAAAAAATATTCTAAACGGTAAAGACATACTACAAAAAGAATATTCTGCGATTACAAATATAAAAAAGATACAAGTATGGAGCAAATAACATTTTTGTGTGAAAAAGTAACATTGTTGTGGCATATTGACTAATCAAGATATAAAAATTTTCTTTGTCATTTTCATTTTTAATTCGCTCGGCCGTTATCCTTCCTAGCAAAAATGTTACCATTTCTCGTCCAAACATATTTCCACTGGGCGCGTGATGCCGCTTCACGTGCCATGCCAAAGCAAGCAGCTGTCGTTTCAGCCGCGTGAGGCGCTCGTTGACGAAGAACCTGCGTGGCTCCCCCAGCATGCTGATGTCGGCTGAGGTGAGGCCGCGGCGCACACCAGATTAAGCACTATTTGGCTCGTTACGGTGGTACTCCTGTTGTTTGACATCTTTGTGTTATTTTTGTGGTATGGTTGGTATTGGAGTGCCGCGTAAACTGATATTTTTGGCTAGTATGGAAGTCCCGTCTTTTAAACGTAGTGATTACATTCTCTTTGGCGCACACGCACAGCACGCAGCATGTCGTCGCGCCAGCCTGACGACGGTGGTGCGTGGGCGCGGCGAAGCGGCCACGTCCTCAGCGGCGCGGTTGCGCCGCGAGAGGCCCATCCGCTCCGCGAATACGACGTCCCGGTCCTCCAGCTTTATGCATAGCTTTACAGTTATGAGCCCGGTTACATGCAAGATGTTTTAATTTTTTTCTTCAGGCAGGCCGGAGATTTCCAGATCGTTATGCAGACATTCTTGTTCGCACTCGTTCAATTTTCGCTTCAAATCGGTAATTGTGTTTTCAAGCTTCTCCATATTGCCGGAAGATTTTACTTCGCAGCTCGTCTCCAGTGTAGACACTCTTTCTTCTAAGGCAGTTAAATGTGCGCTGCATGAATGCAGCTCTGCTTTGAAGTCGAGAATCTCCCTCCTGCAGTCCGCAATCTCAGTTCTTGTTTTGCTCAGTTCACCGCGCAGATCTCTTATCTCCTGCATTAACTCCCGTAGCATGTGGTTGTTCGTTTTGGGTGTATTCTCACTTAGATCTAGATTGAGAAGTTGACTCTTCTGACGACATATCACCACATAACATTTTTGATGCCCTCGAGGATAACGTAGGGTCTATTTTGGTTTTGATTTTGCAGCCTTGGCCCGCCATCCTTGAGGTGTTGGCATCGTCGGTACAGAACAGCAAGTACGATGAAAATTATTTGCGCATTTAGAGCACCTCACACAGTCCGCGTTGGATAAAACTTTACCACAGTACCCGCACTTTCTTTACATTGGCATTTTCTTATTAATTGTAAGTGCAGCGGTGTTAGTAACACGGTTCGTGTAAATATGGCGTTGTGCTAATTACGAAGGCTACGGCCGGAGGATGCAAAAAAATGCAAATTTAAATTTAAAAATACTTATTTATTACATAAAAATTACAAGTTAACTACTTCTAAGAGAGGTGACGGTTGCTCGAAGTGTGAGACAAGAGTGACGCTCGCTGCGATGCTTCGGACGGTCCCGGTGTCCAACACCTGTCTTGCGCAACCACTTCGTATCCGTGGGATTACGGGCGACGGCATGTAGCACGGAATAAGCAATCCCTTGAGAATGGAATGTGGAATGTTGTAGCTGGGTGGTTGCAGTGTAGGCAATTTCCGGGATGTATTATCGTGTAACATCTCCCCCCGTAGATCAGCGACTAATCGAGAATCTTTTTCGAGAGGGTTGCTGAAATATTCTTTCATCAACCCTTATTTCACTAGGGTTGATTCGCCTTGGCGCTGGGGTCGCTTCTAATATTTCTGGTACGTCATTGGCGACTTCCGTTGCTCTATTTTATTTTTGTAGGGGTCTTGCTCGGAGTCGGCGATACAGAAATGCAGCACTAAATGATGCTACACTCAACAGAATCAGGTAAATTGGAATAGTGGTGTGGTATATAGTCGAATCGGTGATTTTCTTCAGGTGAGTAGGAGGTTCGAGGGCTATTTTGGTGCTTAGCGCATGAAGATCTTTCAAATTCGGCATGTTCAAGGTAATCGGTGCACGCTGTGGATGTCTCGATTCATGATATTGGGGTATTTCCATGACTCTCACTACATGGCCCTGGATTTGGTCGTTAGTATTGGAAATGGTTATTTGAGGCGTTTTCAAATTACAGTTTAGTGGGATGACAGCTAGGTAGCTTCCTTTTAGCGTCCGGTACTGTTCTTGTCCGCAAGTTTACTTTTGTTTGAGTAGGAAAGTTAAGCGTGTAGTGCTTATCGTCTAGTGCTTCGAAAGCTTCATTCTCCAAAGTGACTTGAGTTAGCTTACAAGATTCTTGGAGTTCCTGATTGGTGATTAGATGTTGAATGCAGTCAGGTTTATCTTGAACACTGTATTGTGGCTTCGATTCGCAGAGATACCAAGCATTTATTCTCGGAGATTCTGTCTCTATGTACCTAGAGTCTGTGCCAGAGATTGCTACAAAAGGTGAGGAGGGGATAAGGACCTCGTGATTTCTGTTAGGAACGATAGCTAATTTATAGAGGTCGTAGGTTACAGGGATAATAATCGGGACCTTTATAACTATCACTACTTGCTTACCTAAGAAAAAGTAACCTAACTTAATTATTTCGTAAAAATTTCTATAGTCTATTTCAAAGATCTCGTCCTTTGAATATAAAATTTTTAACTTATTTATAATATTTTTAATTTGATCTAAACTAACTAACGAATATGGTGTGCTCGATGCACGAATAAACGATAAAGTATTCTCTAGATTTGTTAATTTATCAGATAAGTTCTCAATGTTATCTCCTAAAATAAGATAATGCTGTGCTAAATGGGCGTATTTTATTAAATCTGTTTCTCTATCAGTGTCGCTTTTCATAATTAATCTTAATGTTTTGCCTATTTTTTCCTGGTTTGATACTATGCTATCTATCAGTTCTGAACTACGCGAGTTCCAATCTTTATTTAAACTTACATTTTTGTTAAATTCGGTTTCTAATTTTTGTTCGTTATCCTGTAAGATCTGGATCGCATTTTCATATTTAATTGCGTCTGTATAGTCTAAGTTACCGGAAATACTTTTGATTATTGACCCTAGACCGTCAATGAGTCCTCTTTTATTGCGACTTGATTCGAAAGTATTTAACTGATTTGAAATCCTCTCTAGCTTGTTAGCGAGATGTTCAAGGTGAGGTTCAAAAAGGGATAAGGTCTTGTTACTTAACAGTGGCCTTAGTTCAATTATTTGGTGGTGGACGGATTCAACCTGTGAGTGAATAACGTTTAAGTCTATATAGTTAAGAAAAGAATGGTAATGAGTCACTATTTTTGTTGCACCCAATTTAAAGGGTAGTAATCTAGGTCCGTCGTCAAGTGAGTCAATCGTTAAATCTTGTCCGTGGGTCAGTTGCAGTAGAAACGTCAGCAGTATTGTCCTGTAACAAGGTGGGATTCTTAGGCGTGACTTAGCAACTGGGCCGCGTTTCTTTTTAGTGTAGATGTGGATAGGAAGATCAGCAAGGACGGTATCCTGCGTATATCGCGGGGCTAGTTTTTGTCGAGATGCTAGGGGGTTCCGTATGAATACCTGTTGGTCAGGGACATATTCTTTTTCGGGTTCCCTATCTTTGTTTCGATTTTCAGTCAGTAAAGTCCTGTCATGTAAAGAAGTCTCATTAATAAGGTCGAATACTTGTTTCATTCGTTGTCTGTGGTCACGTAAGTACTGTTGTAGTAAGTGTTCAGATATTATATTTATATCTATCGGGTCACGTGGGTCAAAGTGTCCGGTTATTAAGTCTATAGGTCTGCATTTCGTAAAACTATAAATAGAGCTGTTATTTAGCTAGCACTGCGTAAGGCATTAAATTGACTACTGGCTCATTTCGTTTTTTAATTTTTAATATCCTTAGACGTTCAAGGATTTTTGAGTGGAATCGTTCTACTATTCCATTTTCATTGGGTGAATTAGCTAGGGTCTTATGGTGTTGGATCTTGTGAAGTCGGGTAAATTCAACGAATATTTGGTTGGTAAATTCGGGGCCTTGATCGGTGACTAAAGTAATTGGAACTCCATGGTGAGTACAGAATATCAAAAGAGTTTGAACAACGCTAAGAGCCGTACCGTTCCTAAGATGATATGCTTGGGCATACTTAGAGAAAGCATCTACTATTGTAAGATATTTTTCATTCTCTGTTGTGAAAAGGTCAAGGTGAACTATTTCAAATGGTTTTGACGGGGGTGGCACGATTAGAAATCTTTGTTTTATAGGATTTCGATCGTATTTCGTTTAGCCGCAAACGCTACATTCGTTTATGTATTTTGTAATACATTCTCTCATTTTCGGCCAATAGTACTTGGAAGATAGAGCTAAATAGCATTCGGTAGTACCGCGGTGGTTCGTTTTGCCTTCGTGGTATTTTTGTATAATCTCCTGCTGGCGTAAATATTCCTGAACGTTTTCTAGCTCGATTTTAGTTAGGACAAGATTTATTTGGTATTATTTGATACATGGCTAGAGGGGAATGAATTATTATTCCCGTCTTAACCTTGGGATTTATGAACTCTTTTACAGCGTTGATGACGTCATTAACAAGGTTTAATTCACTAAGTTGAATGGTTACTTTTGTATGAGTTTCAAAGGACTTTGTCACTGTTGGTCGTTTTTTGATGTCACCTACTAACATAAAACAAATCTGTCTACTGAACTTATTAATTGGTTCATCTGAGATGGGAATTTCTAAAATTGGATTTTCGGCGCTTGTGTGGGTGGTAGTGCTCTAAGGTAGTGCTCGAGTGGGCTGACAAGGTAGAGAGCTCGTATTGGATGTAGGCCTTTCAGATGGATTGACGGCAATGGAGCTAATATCTTCGTTGTTAATTTCTATGCGGGATAAAGCGTCAGCGTTGGTGTTATTTTTGCCTTGCTTATATATCGTGGTAAAATTATACTCGCTAAGTTTAAGCCTCCAACGTGTAAGTCTTGAGCCTGGCTCTTTCAAGTTCATAACCCACTGAAGAGGTTTGTGGTCTGTAACAATTTTGAACTTCCTTCCAAACAAATAGGGGCGGAAATACTTTGTGGCCCAGAAAATGGCTAAAAGCTCTTTTTCTATGGTGCTATAATTTGTTTCACTTGTATTCAAGGTCCTGGATGCATAAACAATCGGTTTGTCACTACCTATAGTGCCTTGTGAGACAATAGCGCCTATGGCAAAGTAAGATGCGTCAGTCATCAGTATGAAGTCATTGGTGAAGTCAGGATATTGTAGTATCGGGTCATTCGTCAATAAAAGTTTACATTTTTCAAAGTAGTTAATATAGTTTGTGTCGTTATATGTTATTTTTGAACCTTTTTTCAGGCATTGTGTCATGGGCTTTGTTATCCGAGCGAAGTCTGGGATGAACTTTCTATAATAGTCTAGCAATCCAAGAAAGCGCTTTATATCGGTGGCAGTCTTTGGCAAGGGAAATTTTTGAATGGCAGTTATTTTATCCGGATTTGGTTTTATACCATCTTTACTTATTATGTGACCTGGGTAAGCGGTCTCTAGCTTTAGAAATTCAGATTTATCCATTTGGATTTTGAAGTTCGATTCCCTAAGTCTTTTAAAAACTTTTTCTAGATTGACCATATGTTCTTGTAGTGATAAGCTGAATACGATGATGTCATCTAGGTATACAAGGCATACGACATTTTGAAGGTCCCTAAGAACATTATCCATAACTCGTTGGAAAGTAGACGGCGACTTCTTAAGGCCCATGGGCATTCTTAGAAATTCAAAGTGCCCATGCTCTACATTGAAAGCCGTTTTATGGATGTCCTCCGGATTCATTTCTACCTGATAAAATCCGCTGGCGAGATCTAACGTCCTGAAATAGTGGCAGTTGCCAAGCTTATCTAATACGTCACTGCTGTTAGGGATGGGGTAATTGTCGTCTATGGTTTTCTCATTAACTTTCCTAAAGTCAACAACGATAGGCCACTTGATTTTTTCTGACGCATCAGCTTTTTTGG